AAGGAGAAACACATTAAAAGAACCTACCGTTTCAACTTCACAGAGTACTTCGCCAGGAGAAATTTTGTCACCCTCTTTCTTCAACCACCTAGCAATATTTCCCTGCATGAAAGCAAAAGAACGAAACACAATTATCATGACAACAGCAGATGCAGTATAAGTAGATTCTTTCAAGAACTTCAGAAAGATGCATACCTCCGTCATTGTAGGTGACAGAGAAGGCATCCCAATCTCTTGGTGTGGAGGTAGATCTGAGAGACAGTAATATAATTAGTATAGATGGACATGCCTCAAACAAGAATCACTGAGAATGAGAGAATTGCACACAAAGGATCAAGCAGACAAGATATTGACAGCCTGTTTGGGAAGGATTTTTTACTTCAAAAAATTGATTTTTTGACCATTATTTCACTATTTCAACCGTAATTTTTGACTTCTTCCCTCACAGGTGACCTCACTTTTCTTGTAACGGTCAAAAAATCAATTCTCAAAATCCCTCCCAAACGAGGCCTGAAATAATTTTAGGATCAAATTCAGGTCTATAGATAATTAAAATTTTACCAAGGTTATAGAAAATGTTTTATATTAACTAGCATAACTACGAAATATGTATGTCAAATAGCTTCCAGATATTAAAACGTGGCTAGAACCAGAGTTTGGACTTGTATGCTCTAATAATAATAATAATTTGGCAATGACTAACCAAAAACATTGTCAAAAGTAAGGAGCTCCAGCTCAAATAACAGTATCAGGGAAAATTGTAAGCTAAACTAACCTGAAGCTGTTGAAAAACTTCTCCTTATATTACCCTCTGCACTGGAATCAGAAACACATGATGTCAGATTATGTTTAAACAAGGCAATTGTCAAATTGATGTATCTACATGAGAGGACAGATGATCTCAACATGAAACAAAACACACCATGGATGCATTTTCTGGAACATCGTGCCAGAAAAGGATGTGTATGCTTCCATTTCTTTTCGCCAAGCATTTCCCTTTTGTGTCCCTACAGTAGATATCTGCAGTACATAATTCAGACTTTCAACATTTCAATCCAATCTGTGAACAATTTGTACACGCCTTTATATTAATGAAAAGAACTAAATGTACAGTACTGCGCAAGGAATGGGGGAAAAGGTTTCAATGGATCTGATCAGAAGGGTGGGATTTACCGCTCTGTAACTGGGACTTAAAAAGCTTCCACTAGAGAACTTGGAAACCCCGTGGTTTCCTCCATGTCCAAGACCATGTTGGCTGACATCATTGGCAACCCAGCGTGCTAAAATTGCACGATCATTTCGTAGAATCTTATGGGTGTCTCTAAGCTGTAAAATTTGAAAGATATACTAATGCCATTGAAAAAACAGAGTTAACAAAATACATATCATCTATCATGAAGAACTAGAAAGAGAACATGTAGAGTTTTTACCTGGCTCTATCTTTTAGTATGGGAAATAAAATGTCAAAAGGCCTTTTTTTTATGTCTATTGATTAGTAAACTTAATGAAACATAAAATTGAAGATCAGAAGCGGACAAGGGGATCAATTTGCTAGCCTAAATAATATCTAAGGTATTTTAGATAGCAAAACTATTACCGAGTTTATGAGCATAGTTAATTTTGAGAAGACAATCATTATCTTAACACAAACGCAAAGATATAATTTACACAATGTCCCATATCCAAATGCCTGGGGCACATTAATCACCCAATCGACCGCTGGCAGATGAAACAAGAAAAAGAATCTCAACAGAAACCAAATTTGAGCTGCGATCAGCACATTTTGATTTCATCACTAGTTCACTTATATTAAGGTCCTATCATTTCTATTAGCTCCATGGACATTAATCAAAGGCCACTATCCCAATCAATTGCAATCAATACCCAAGCGTCCATTTCTGGATAATTCATATGGTCGATGAATTTATTATGAAAACACCCGCCTATACAAAAAAATATTTTGTGCAACTGCATCAGTAGAAAGAAATATAGTTCAAATTAAACACACCAACAGCAAGATCCAATACCAGTTTCCCGAAAAAGAGAAGAAAAAGAAAAACATCAGATTTCAGATTGAGCGCGCTAAATTTTTGTCATCTCATGCAAAATATATCTTAACATTTAGAAATATAAACTCTAGATATTCAACTAATATCCCTAACTCATCATGTACAATCACCCAAAAAACAAGGAAAATGCCTAGTATTACCTTTCTAGGGTGATGAAAAAATCGAGAACCGAAAGTCATGTTGATGAGCAGATTCAGATGCTCCTCTCCTTAGAATGCGAATGTAGAGTCGATTAATCAACCGAGGGGTGAATCTTGAACAGTAGAAAGAGACACGTATGTTCGTATGTTGAAAATATATATATAAGAAATTGGGGGCTTTGGTGCGTGGTTTTGCAAAGGGCAAAATATAAGTCAGCACTATACTAGAGAGGAATTTGGTCGCGTTTGATGTGCTACGTAATCGAAAGTGCGAGTCTAGGAGGATGGAGGGATTCGATGATTCTCGATCTATTCACTTATTATTGAAAAAAATCGATTGAAGTCTCGAACTTTCCAATTTCATAGCATGATGTTTGGTTCGTGAGTCCATCCAAATTATTGTTGACAATGCACGTGAAGATTGAGTATCACGATTGTTAATATGCAAAATATTATGTGTAAAATGAGGAAGTTAGGGTTTGAGATCTATCACCGTCGAGGAGTGACGAGGTAAGTGATACAATCTTTTTTCAAAAGAATGGAGTTTGATTTTAATTAGTTAATTGTCCATAAGAAAAACGTTAGAAAATAGAGTTTGAATTGTAAACAATTAAGAATGATCGAAAAAATAAATCCACGAGATCGAGTAATTACAGATTAAACTATTTGACTTACTCCAAGAAAGTTGCAATATGGTCCATAAGAAGTTGTTAAATGTCACTTGAAATCCCAAAATAACTTAAGAAAATGAATTAGAGTAACTTGTCTAGTTTTTAATTTCAATGATTGGAACTCCAATCATGAAAGATCTCTATTTATGCAATTGAAAAAAAATAAAAATAAAAATCTAAGAACAAATTAATTCTGACTCAAATTTGTAATTAATGAGTCGATACATATATTAAACAAGTATACTCTTGTGTGAATTTGTAATTGCGTGTAACTGTATAGATTGAGCAAAGGTCAAAATCAAAACATCTCTGTTTGATCTCAATTATTAGGAGATGGGTATAGGAAGAGTACACCGAATATATCACTTGAAAAAATCTTATGATGAAATATAAAATCAGAAGCGCTATTACATTAGGAATGGAAACAGGACGGACGATCATCGAGCGATTATTACCATTTCCATCCCGTCGAGAATTTTCAAAATGCAGAGATTAAAAAATTCTTATTTTCCAATCTGTTTTATTAATTATTAATTATTAATATTTTTAAATACGATTTAAATAAAAATATATATAAAACTAAACTAAAATAAAATTATTTCAAACATGTTTGGGGAATTTAGGGTGGGATCCATGTTCCTCGTCCCTGCTTGTTTACCATTCAGGCGAAGTGAGTTGGAAACGAAAATTTTCCATCCCTAGTGTTTCGCGCGGGTTAGTTGCTAACAATTAAAAAGGATCAAACGATTGTGTAAGGGACAAACCTCTTGAGACAAAGTCCCAAAAATGGGTGTTCTTTTATTGGCGATAACTTTACAATTGGAAATTAAAAACAAAGTGCATGCAAGGGGCGCAAGCACACGAGTTACTGAAAAAAGTGTTTAAGTCTAAAACTAAGGAAATTAAAATTACATGTTCTCTACTCGAGAGTTTTTTATTCGGTCCCTTGCTCAATGTCTTTTCTCCCTTTTATACTTCATGGACGATCTCTTTGTGATCAATCGTCTAAAAACTGCTTGATCGTCCTATAACTGCCCACTTTCCTCGTAATGGCCAACTTGTCATGAAAACTGCATTTTTTAACTGCTGCCATTACTCTTAGTCGTTTAACCGCTTTCGATTGAATTCCTTGAATCGTGGAACGTGATAGGGCTGCTTTAATAACTGCTTTGATAACTGCACGTCTTGATAACCACAACACTTTATGTTTGTTAAGACTTTAGGCGACTTAAAGGTTTGGGCGAGAATAGAGTAACAGCTCTGGGCGACTGTATGACACTTCATTCGCTCAGATTTTGGACGACTTGCAAACTTGGGCGATGGCGTTACCGCGTTCTTGGGCCTCCCGCTTTCATCTTGATTTGTTTGATTGAGCTTCGTTCATTGGGCTAACTGATTTGGGGATTCTCCAACTGGGCTTCACTCCTTGGACCGTTCGATTTGGGCTGAATTTTTATGTGTCAACACCTAGATTATGCAATAATTAAAATAACTCTATATTGAAATAAATCGGTATGATTTTAATAATGTCAATATGATCACACATACTAAACGATCTGTTTTTGTATCAATTAAAGATCTCCAATCGGTATGAATTTGATAATGTCATAATGTGGGATGGGGCAACTTTTTGTCCTGTTTGTTGCCCCCATTTAATTATTTTTTTTACATTTTTAAAATTTCAAGTTATGTCCTGATTTGATAATAAAATACAAAGTCAAAATGTGTTTTTAACGAGTAAATTGTTTGGAAATAAAATTATTTTTAATCCTTTTCTTTTTTTTCCTCCACAGGGCAGGGCATCCTCGCCTCGCCCCACACCCATGCCCAGCGACGGGGATCCCCACCTTGCTCCACCAACTCATTCGGGACGGGTTTTTTTCAATCACTCATTCAGGCCAATCCATTCAATGCAAGTTGTCATCGCAACTTACATAATTTAAAAAGATTGTAATATGTTGGAATCCAGTGCAATGTCATAGATAAACGAGGGCTCAACCGCTTCCCCGATTCTACTTTGGCAAACATATTACATGTGACATAGAGAACCCCCGATGAAATGAACAAATACGATCAATTAACATAACAGTGCTTAGACAAGTATATACAAGGAAGAGGAATAAAGGCAAATATATTTATATATATATTCACAAGGCAGTGATAATCATATGCAAATATCATACATACAACAGCCCAAGTGCTTTGGGGTTATGAATAGCTCACTATACTGGACAAAAAAGGCAATAAGAATGAACCAACAAGGTTCAACGAGAAAACACAAATAGAGAAATTTTCAAACAGCCAAAAAACCTAAAAATAAAAAAGAAAAAAGAAAAAGGAAAAAACAAACTTAAATGCATAATAATTATGTTTGATGTTGTATTACAGTGGAAGCACTCATTGTTGAATACTTCTTCTGCAGTCTCCCTTTTAACAGCCTGATTTTCGCATCGACTCGGGCTGTGAACCCGATTTTAGTCTCCTGTCTTGCCTTCGACCGCTCTCGTTTCCACATATGTCGATCAGCAATGTCTTTCCTATAGTACTTGATTTCTTGAATGATGTGATGATCCATTGGATTGAACGATCTCTGGAAAGAGATGTGTGCAAGGTACGGGAGATTACAGGCGATGGTCACTAAGAGGGTAGTGATCCAGTAAATTGGGGCCGGAGCTAGAACTTCTGTGAGGATTCTGAAGGCATTTTCATCGAGAGCCGATGATAATTCTCCGTAGAATGCAAGAAACACATACCATGTAGTGACACTACCCCAAACAAATAAGTGTTGTATCCACGTGAAGTGACTCATTGTAAGTGCAATCTGGCAATTAACGGCCCAAATAATGCAAGTGAACATAGCAGTACCAACTGCAGTCATATCAGCCGTCTGGCCTCCAGCACGGAAAGCTTGGTCGTAAAAGATAATAATATTGAGGAAGAAGATAATGAGGGACGTGTATAGACCATTTCCCATCCACCCGAATATTCTGTACCAGTCAAAGAACAAATTTTTTGGCCCTTGCTGATATAGGGCCGGAAACTGCATCGTGCATAAGTTTGCATCAGTACAAAGCATTTCCGGGTAAATAAACTGACCGTCATCAAAATTTTCGCGAAATTTCATTTTTATTTCAAGTTTGTCACTGACAGTTTGCAACAATTTGGTCACCTTGTCTATCTCCATCAAGTCAATTAAAGGAAAAGTTGACTTGATAGTCAATCTATTCGATTAAAGGATGGAATGACCAAATCGTAACAATCATTTAAGTTCAGTGTCCCAACTGTCACAATGTTTTAATTTGATTGATCCTCATTGAAAATTTAACTTAAAAGTTCATTGACCGCTAGTGTTCTTATCCCAAGCATTCTACACATGCTGAACTTGTGGTAGTTTGAAGGAAATTCAAGCATATAAAATTTAGAAAGAATTGAACAAAGACTAACCTGCAAACACACTTCAGAATCTACGTCTTGTTCGAATACTCCAAGTGAAATCACGGGCAATGATGTAAGAACGACGTTAAACAGCAGCATGTACCAGTCAACATAGACCGACTGTCCAGAAAAGGCAGCAAAAGCCTCGAAGTAGAAAATTGTGAGGCCAAATGCTATATTTTTATAGAAGAAATAGCAGATCTGAGAGTGCAGAGAATTGTAGTTAAAATTGAGAATAAAACAAAGATGGAGGCAGCGCGAAGTAGGACTACATCCATGCAATAATTAACATGCTTTGTACATGCAAAGGGGTGGAAATTTTGTATTATTTAATAGTGTCTTTCAACAGCATCAATAAGAACATAATGAGTTAGCTAAGACGATACCATTTGTGCAATTCTTTTGTAGCACCAATGTCCATGTACAACTAGAAGCCTCTCTAGATACTGAAACTGTGCAATAGCGAAGTCGCTAGCCATTACAGCCTACATAAAGCCAAAATTATGTCAGCCTATTTTGATATAAAAGTAATACATGCTCATGAAAAGTTCCCATGACCTCAAAAGAATGTTAATTACATGAATTTTAAGAAATTAAACTTAAGCAAGAAACTTGATCAACAATAAAATAAAACCTAATTTATCAGGAAAAAAACTAAAAATTACAATTCTCTGGAAAGAGATTATTTTTCAGCCACAGAATCTAGCATTCACCATTTGTAATATAATCCACAAACAGGGTATGCTTTCAACATCTTTTCATTCTTCCTTGATCTTTTTAAAACAAAAGTGGATTTGAACCCAATCCGGCATCTAAATGAAGCCCATGAAAAGTGATAATTCAACAAATAATTTCATAACTCTGTTGATCTGGAACACAACTTATTTATCATGTGGTAAATCAACAATTCAGCTGGGCAACAAAAATAAACTCTAATTGGATTATGTGTGCGCGCGCGCGTGCGTGCATGTACTGATATTATTTTCCCTCTTCTCTTTCAGCTGGTCACCATTACAGTTTTGCCTTTATCAATAAGGTTGACGCCAAATTTGATTGAATTTCTCAAGAGACAATATGAAAAAAATTCAAATAAGCATATGCATATCTTTTGTTTACACAAGAAAATACTTTTATCAGACTATCACTTCTGAAAGTGAAGGAATGACAAGGTAAACCTCTCTGATTCTTGATGTACTTGATCATTTCTGCAGTTTGATAAGTGATTCTTTAAGTATATAACTATTTTGCGAATAACAAGTGGCTACAGAATCTGATTCCAGATACATTTGGGAAAAAGCACAATCTCTCTTATAAAGTGAAGCCACTGAATTGCGGCTACCAGACTAAAATGCATATCCAGTATATGTATCGTATCAGAGTTTGCATTCCATCAAGTACTGCTGGAAAATGTTGACTAATTTCAAGAGAAGTGGAGTGAGGAATATGATCATCTAATGCTCTCCAATACTTTTATTCTTTTCATACTATTCAAAGGAAGAAGCAGACAAGTACACATAATAAAAGGTAAACAATGAGGAATGCATTGCTCAATGATCAGCATGGAAAATCTGGACATGTAATTAAGACAAAAACCTGAAATCAGTATGGTAACAAAACTAATGATTCACAAGGATAGAACGAAAATAGATCTCGTCCAAGAGCATGAAATTTATTTGAGCAGAATGGCAAGTAGGAATAGTACTCAGGATAGTGGATTCAACTGCAAGTATTGCACTCTCAAGGAATCAATTCAAAATGAAAATGGTTTGGAGAAACATATACAGATAATGCTGAGTGCCCTGAAAAATAATCCCAGATTGCCAAGGCTTATAAACTCATCAAGCAATTAAAATGGGTACAAAGATGTGCTACATATCTTTTCTTAAGCGTCCAATCAAAGTGTTCTTTGTTGAAAGTGTAGTATGGTTAAAGTTTAAATAATATTTTTATGAGCTCTTTTCTTCAGTAACAATGGGATCTTTCTTCAAAGATCTACTGCAAAATCCTAGTTGCAAAAACATGTTCCAAAGAAACAAATGCTTCACACATCTGAAAAAACAATTACTATGATTTCATCGTTGCATACTGCATTTGAAGCTGATAAGATTATGTTACAAACCTGCATTCCTTCACATCCACTAATTCCCACACCAATGTCTGCTTCTTGAATCATGCCAACATCATTTGCACCATCGCCTATTGCTAATGTGGTTTTCCCAGTTCCTTCTTTTACTAATCTTGTTACCTGGTTGCCAAATAACATCAGCACAGATGAAGGATTGAGCAGTCATAACTATCAGCATGTCTGGCTATGCTTAAAAAGTTTGCTTATAAGTAGACAAGTCTTCTAACAGATTAAAGTAGGAATAAGTTATTTATTTTGAAAATAAAGTAAGAGTTACTCTCCAGAAAGTAACTTTTTTTACTTCCAAGTAAGAAAAAGTTAATTTCTCGAACATGTTGGAAACAAAGTAACTTCACTTATTTTTAAGCTTAGCCAAACATGCTCGGTAGAATTATCTCAGAAATTTCGAGAAATGAATTGCAAAATACGCAGCATGGAATTAAATAGGTACATGAGACAAAAGATGATTACCAGAGCCTTCTGCTTAGGTGAAACACGACAGCATATGACAGAAGCACAATCAACTGCTAAATTCAAAAATTGATGCTTCATGTCATCCTCCAATGCATAATTTAAAGTTTTCCCATCAATGATCAATGCAAATGCAGCATGAGGATCCTTTTCAAGCTTGACCATTTGGGACCCATTGGTGATTTGCATCAAGATATTTTCTTTCACAGACTGAGAAGTAACAAACAACAAAGAAGGCTACCATAATTTATAATAAACATGCTCAAATGTTTTGCATATTCTTTCTATAAACAACTACCTTCTCAGGATCTTGGCTTAATGCGGCTTCATTGGTTGCTGTAATACAGATTTGCTTCATGCCCGGTCGAAGCAAACTACAAGAGAATCTGCATAGTCATCACAAGTTTTCATTTTAGCAGCCGGAAGGCTTTGATTGTTCAGACACTATGATCACCATAAAATAGTTAAAGCCAGTTTCTGCTGGCAAGAGACAGACCCTATATTAATCGCAGTTTCCATCTTATCACCTGTCAGAACCCAGAGCTTGAGACCAGCTTGTGCCAATTTATCTATGCATTGAGGCACCTATGGAGTAGCAAACAAAGAAAAACGTTCATATACAAACCACGAGTGTGTGTGTAGTGACAGCTTCACAGCAGTGATACAACATATAATATACCCCTTTCTGTAATTTGTCCTCCACTGCAGTTGCACCAACAAGTGTCAAGTCCCTTTCCATCATATCAGAAACCCGCTCGAGCATCGCATCCCGATCACCACCAATTGAGGTTTTTGCTTTGAAAAACTCTTCATTCCAAGCAGAATACTCGGCCTCTTCAAGATTCTTGTAAGCAAGCGCAAGGGTTCGTAATCCAGCCTCCCCATATTCATTTAAATGCTTGGTAGTAGCTTCCTCATACGCTTTTCCATTCTTTGATAACCTATCAAATATTATGCTGCAAAGAGAAGAAATAGATTCCAGAGCATTTTAATATAGCCAAACACAATCTTATAAGGAAAAGATCAAACAAAAAATCACAAAGCTCAACTGCTCATTGCCTAATAAATTAATTTAAACAAACTTTACAACTAATTCTTCAAATGCTCATTAGAGAGTGTGGAAAAAATTAGTTTAGTTAAATGATATACATGACTCTAACAGTTTAAGCTTTTAGATCAAGTAATTCAACATGGTATTAAGAGCACGCAGGCAAATGTCCTGATTTCAAGTCTTGCGCCACTCATTAAATAAATTTTTTGCGTGTTAAACTTTAATTACAAAATATATCCGCCTATACGTGAGGGGACGTGTTGACAATATTTAAATTATGGATATGGTCCTCATCTAGCAGCTTAAACTTTTAGATCAAATGGTTCAACAGAGAGCACATGAAGAACATGTTGATAATATGCAGAAGTTAATGGCCACACTGTCTTTTACTGCAATTTCAAAAAGACTTCTTTTTGAATGGGAATTACTTGGAGAGAACTAAAAGTAGCAAACAAGATGTTGAATGACAAACCTGTCAGCTCCTTTGCACAGGAGAAGAATCTGACCAGTCTCGTCCCGTACAATAACAGACATTCGCTTCCTTTTGCTCGTAAAATCCAACAAATTGAGAACTTTATACTCCCTGAATTTACAGAAATATATTGGATGTAAAGACAATTGATCCAAGAGAAAATACTTTCCAAATATACTAAAAATAATTTACTCGCAGTCTTGCCTTTCAATTGGCTCTTGGAAAGAAGAATATCTCTCACGAACGACTACGGTTGACTGAGTTCTTTTACAGAACTCAAAGCCGAATTCTTTAGCTGCGACAAGAAATGAACCTTCATCTGGTGATTCTGCTTCATAGGTTAAATCCCCAGTCTCTTCATTTAGTTCAGGAATTGCAGTGTGACAAATTGAAAGTATCCTGAAAAAAAGTAAAATGACATCTGCATTGGGTTCTTTGCACCAATTCCCATTCATGAGCCGGCTATCCTCAAAGCTAAACCCCTTTACTGCAGGTTTACGTTCATTTTCATCAGTTGAAGTAACAACAGTCTCCAATTCAATTTCTGATTGCCCAAATGCATTTCCACTTTCCATCTGCTTTGCAGCAGCAAGTTCCACATCACTAGCATGTGTTCCATATGCAGCACCCGCAATGGAGCATTTGAGGAAGTCCATTTGGTTGCATGTCAAGGTGCCGGTTTTGTCAGATAGGATTGTATCAACCTGTCCTAACTCCTCATTTAAATTGGATGTTCGTGCTACTGCAGGAGTTCCAGTCTCTTCATCATACATATGGATGTCGCGGTTTATGAACAATGCTTGGAGGACTTTTACAACCTCAATTGAAACATAAAGAGATATTGGTATCAAATAGCCATATAACATAAGAGCAGTGATTAGATGATAAAAGCCTGAAACCAGTGGTTTGTTGGGATTAAAAAGATTATTTTTATCTGGGGGGCGTAAATACCACCAGTTTGGCATGTCATTTTTCGTCTTCACGATAAAACCTATTGAGCTGATGAATGAGATGAAAACCAGGAGGCTGAAAAGGATGTAAATTATCTTGTCCATTTGCTTCTCAATCCTGCTCCTTTTCGAAGGAGATTTCGTAGAATTCTGCATAACTTTGCTATCATGACCAGTGAATATCACAACTCCATAAACATAGGCTGTGTTCCTAAGCTTTGAATCTCTGAGAAGAATCTGACTAGGATCAAGAGGATAGACAATGCGGTCATATTCAAGATTACCAACGAAAGTGTAAAGACTAGGGTTCGGATCCTCGCATCTTATGGTTGCATTGAAATCTTTAAAAGTTGCATCATCATCCAATGGTAAAGTTACCTCAAGGGCTCTTTTTACCTTCAAATTTGTCTCTCCATCTAAGTTCATAGTTTCAACATAACAAATTCCATCTTCATAGCTAGATGATAAAAGAAGTAAATCGGCAGGAAAAAACTGATCCTTTTCTACTTTCACAACATCTCCAACACGAATCTTCATCCATGGTCTGTTACCAAATACACCGTCTCCTTTATGTACACTAGCTTTTCTCAAATTAACTTTCATATCCTGTATGAAGCGCCGCCAATCTTCCAAAGCTTCTTTAGCCATACTCAACCCAACCACGAATGCTAAAGGAGCAATCATACTTACAGATGAGAATGGAGATACATCAGTTAATGAAAGGATTGCAGCTAGAAGAAAGTACAAGTTTGCAACACGTCTGAATTGTTCAAATATGGCCTTAGGTAGGAATGTAAGGATGTTGTACTTTGTGGTAGAGATGTAATTGGTGCGATATTTAAGTGGCTTCTGCTCATGTAAATGAGGCTGGTTACAATAAACCATTCTCGAGTAACCCGGACCTTGTATGTCATGTGGCCCCTCTTCCTCGGAAGTGCGTGGTCTGTAGCAAGAAAATGTGTACAGACTGCTCCTTCGAATCTTCGCCCTTATCCTACCCCGTGCCATTTTTACAGTTTTTTACTACGTCGTAGAACTATAAAATGAAACCCCTGACACCGGCATTCTCTGTTCTTGTGAAGAGCTTGCTTAGAAGACTATTTTGACATGTTGAAATGAAAATTTGCCCAACCTTAAAAGACTGGGTTTAAGAACTTGCATCAAGAACACCACCTGGAAATGAATTAATAACAAAAGACATTTAACTTATTATCCATTATAAATGACAAATAATGTACAAGTACATTGCACTAACTTTCATAAAATGACTGTCAAATTGTCATCCGCTATTCTTTCATGCGAAATATATCAATTAATTAAAAGAATTGTGTAACGAGAGATTAATTACAGCCAATTAAAAAAGAAGAAAAAATGTTTACATCAATACTCCTCACTTCAAATTTTGAAGGCTTAAAAAAACTGTTAGCTTCAAAGAATCAAAAGAGTTAATAAAAAGTAAAAATAATAAAATTTTCGAATTCTGCAACTCGTGACCTCCAAATAAATAAATCACAGGCTTGAATCCTTTATATGTACAATGACATCAAGAATCTAATCTCACACTCTTGATATATACAATGACATTAAAAACTAAACCTTAAAGTCTTAATAGATCATCAATAGCAAATAAAAGGAGAAAAAGATACCACGTTTTAATTACCATCTCAAAGGCTCAAATGGAGCTCCAAACATTCAAAATGAAAAGAAAAAATACACCCAATTTCTTTTCACATCGTTTCTCACACAATTTACCACAAGAAAACAACCCAAAAAAATATGCCCGTGTTGATAAAAATACAATACAATATACATATATGAATACAGAGAGAGAGAGAGAGAGAGTGTGTGTGACTTATTTACCTGCAGATCAGGTGGGGTGGATCAAGAAGCTCGAAAAAATGGAAATTCTTCTGGCGGCCCAGACAGAAGAATGGATATTGATGGAAACCCAGCTGAGAAAAGTTGCAGATATGGGTAATGGAGGAGAGAGAAAGGGAGAGTAAATGGAGAGAGAATTAAGAGAGAGAGTGACGGAGATTTACTTTTACAACAGGCACGTAAACAAAAACGAATACCAGTGTTTCACGCTCTCTCTCTCTCTCTTCTTCATTTTCTATTTCTGTTTCCATATATATTTTCACTTTTCATACTACTTGTTCACACATTTCTCTACTTTAAAAAAGATTGAACCCTAATTTTGAAGTTTTTCACCATTTCGTCTCTAGAGTATCGTGAAAGAAATAAATCTCGAAATATGCCCCACAAATCAGAAAACAAGAGCTTATCTATACACGAACATCCATAAAGAGTTCAATTTCATATCTCAAGAATCTCGTTCGCCTGCTTTAGCTTTTATAGAAAAAAGAAAATATAATTGGCGAAAGAGGAAAAATATAATTCTTTTTAGGAACTATATAAAAAATAAGAAAATCATATTTATTATCAACATATTGGATATCAAATGAAAAAAGTACACAATTATGAATCAAAGAGACTCGCCAATAGTGAAAATCTTCTTTTTTAAAAAGTGAACCGATAATGCAGGGTTCAATTCACACAATTTTCAAGTGCACTAGTCAATTACCTAATTCTTTTAAATAATTTTTTTTTTTTTTTTTACATATAACTTGTTTTAGTGTCTAAACAAATTTTTAATTTTTTTGATTGATCGATTCTTATAACGTTATTTATCATCTTGCTTCTTTTTCTCGAAAAATATATAAACTCTTTTGTCAATTTGATTGATTAAATAATTTTCTTTTTTTCTTTTTTAACGTAAGAATTAAGATTGAAAAGAATGTAAAAGTGTTACTTTTACTTTTTTTGAGAGAGAGAATTTAGAGAGTTTAAATTTTGGGCGAGACAAAATAAAATTGATTAATTTTATCTCGATCTATGTAGTAATTTCTGACGTGCAAAATGCCCAGAGAAGAAGAAATAGAAATGCGCTGGGCGTACAGGAGTCTATTTCCTGTTAGACAATACTAAGCATGGGCCTCGACACAATTTTTATTTTTTTTTCATGTGTGACGGACCCCTACAATGAGGGGTCGGTAAAAACCCCGTAGGAGAATTCTCCGAAGAAATAAGAGCAGGGATTAAACCAGTGGGACCCACTACTGCTTATGTGGCATATGCATCAAGCTACGAAGATGATTGGAAGTTTCTGACAGATGGTCCCGTACGAAAGTCCTTTATGCCTCTAAACCTTGGCCATTTTGTCCACACTCTTCTACTGTGCTGGAATTTTCATTCGCTTGATTAATTGAAATATCTGAAATAATAAAATTAAAGATTTAGATTTTAAAAAAAAAATAAACATAATTAAAACACGAAATCATTTTCTTTGTTTGTTAAAATCAAATTCCGGGAGGAGCTCCTTGATTACATAACGCAACAAGAATCATGTTAAACTTTAATATACTGACAAAAGTTAGAATATTTAGCTAATGAGTACACTTGAAGAAGGCTATACATCTATTTCTCCATCTTTTTGAGAATATATCAAAATTTTGGTGGAGAGTGGTCGGATTTATGAAATTGCAACTACCAATACATATGATTTGGCAAAAGATTTCAAACACCTAAATGAGATTTCGAAGGGAAATGGAATTATAAGTGTTATCTAGAAAATTTGTCGTATTCCTTGTGTTTTTGTGTATTTTTCATTATATTGTAAAGAAAAATGTACATGTTTGACATAACGCGGTGTTAAATAAGTTTAGAATAACGCGTAAATATTCATATATCAATCAATTAACTGATTTTCTACATCGTAGAATTTGTTCAAACTTATTATTCTCGAATAGACCCACTAATTAATTGCAACTACTTCGAGACGTTATTGAATGCTTCCTCCCTATTCATGTAGTGGCATGATGGTACCGTGCATAACTTAGGACCACACCGGGTTCTGTACAAAAATAGGTCTACGGTCAACTCGTTAAAATGGTAGTCCATAGGGACATTATTGTCTATTTACTCCCAACTCTAAATAAGTGCAATACGAATAATAGGTTCATTCTAACTACTCATTTTTCATGAGATTCACGGTTATTATTCATTTAGAGCATCTCCAAGGTGGTTTCGAACAAAGAACACTTGGTTGATTTTCTTAACAATTTACACCCTCCTAAATTAGATTTGCATTAGGTATGACATTTGAGGGTTGAATCAGCAAAACCCCACCACCAACCGAGGGAGGTTTTAGCCATTAGGGCAAAGGACGAAGTTGCTTGGAAAATCATCCAAAAAAAATAAAAAATAAAAAAAATAAAAAAAAATAATAAAACATTTTAAAGTCTTCGCTCTATTCTTCTCATGTACAACTACTTTTTTCTTACCAATTTTGTCCTATAAAATGTCATACGCGATATCTAGTGGACTTTGAATAGATTATTTCGATGAACAATTATTGATTTTTATTTTCACTATTGATATTCAATATCAACTACAATAAAAAATTTGTCTTTGATATATTACTTTTCTTTAAAATTTGATTTTTATCTAAACCGAATAATCTTTGCTTTCATTTTTTCTATCAAAACACATAATTAGATTATTTTAATACATTTTTTTCTTTCTAATAATGAGATTGAAAGTTCTTTTCTAGAGGAGGGTTAGTACTGGTCCACGTTTATATTTTCTACAAATATAAAACGCCAAAAGCCAAAAGAAAGAAAAGTCATGGCATGTTTCTATACCTTAGTGGTCATGTGCTTCTTGAGATCGTGATTAGCACTCTTGTAATAATATGTTGACCGTGTATAGTGAAGGTCAACCTTTGATCATATGTTTAGATGAGACAAAATTGACTGACTTTAGATTAATTTTATTTTGAAGTTAACCTAATGAAATTAGGTAAAT